ATTAAAATGGTTGATACTACTGATCAATATTTTATTACATTCTCCCCCTTCTATTGTAGAGAAAATTCATCTTTTGTTATTTATCTTTGAAAATATGATTTCTCTTATATATGAATTGGACAATAAAATATAAGATTTAAGCATCTGATGTTTACAATTTTACTAAATACTGATTTCACATAAAAAATTTCAGTAAAACTACCTATAATGCTATTCTCCCTGATAAAACGTCAATGTTTAGTTCTAAAGAAATGTGAAATGTGCAGCACAATTATTGTGTCATTAAAATAATTAATTCACAAAGGTAGAGAACAAATGGGTTGAATATCAGTTTTAAAATAGGAAAAATCCCAGAAAAAGCCCTTAGAATATACCAAATCCCAGATTGGGTCCTTAAATTTCGGAAATGACAGAATGGGTCATTGACCCAATCTGTCATTTGTGAAATTCAGGTGAATTGACAATTTTGCCCCTAAGCAAAAGTGTAGTTATTCTCTAAACAAATCTAGGTAACGCATACACTGTTCTAGTGATTACAAGATTCGTTGTAGTTAATAATAAGGTACCTGACAATAATAAGATACCTGACTATGAAAAAATGAGTAGTTATTCTCTACACAAATCTAGGTAATGCTTACATTGTTCTAGTGATTACAGAATTAGTTGTAGTTAATAACAAGATACCTGACTATGAAAAAGTGAGTAGTTATTCGCTACACGAATCTAGATAACACCTAAACTTTTATAGTGATTCCTTGAATCATTGTAGTGAATGAATAAATGAGGGCAAAATTGTCAATTCGCCTGAATTTCACAAATGACAGATTGGGTCAATGACCCATTCTGTCATTTTTGAAATTTAAAGACCCAATCTGGTATTTCCCATATTCCAAGGACTTTTTTTGGGATTTTCCCTTCAAAATATCGGATATTACATAAATCAAATGCTAAAAAACTTTGTAAATAATTCGTTTGTGAAACTCCATTTGCGTTTTTTCCTAATAGCATTTATAGTGCTCTTTTACTATCAGTTTCACAGTACTCCCTCCATCTCATATTATAAGATCTACTTAATTGTATTATGTGGCTTAAGAAAACTGTTAAAAGTGATAAATATATTAAAAATGTACTCTCTCTCTTTTTTTAACCCAAATATGCCCTTATTTATAAGTGGCTAGGTGTGAGTGAGAAAAAATGAGAGAGAATATATAAAAAAAGATAATAAGAGAGAATATTAATTAAGGGTAAAATAAGTAAAAATACATTTATTGTTTAGACAAGTCCAAAAAAATTTTTATAAAAAGGGACAGACCAATTAAAAAAATTGGATCTTAACAAGGGATTAAGGGAGTATTAAGTATTAATTGGATAGTCATTTAATTGCCTAACCCAATTCATTTTGACATTATCGGGTATTAAAAGATTTTATCGATAAAGTTAAAGTAGATAGATTACAAAATTTTAATCAAGATACTGAAAACTAGACAAATTATTAAATTGGTCAAGGTAGTGGGTCAAGAATTAGTAGGTCAGACTGGAGTCAACCCAGGGGTCAAACAGGTGAGAAATAAAAAAGTTAAAAAATAATTTAAATTTTTATCATATCATTTAAGGACTAAATATTAATTCATCACTTTGAAATTAGAAACAAAATAATTATATACTTACAATTCATTTGACAAATTGACATCATAGTAGAGTATCATATTTAAAAAAAAAAATCACTATATATTAATTCAATAACCCTAAACTCTAAACCCTAGCAAATTATCAAAATAGATATATGATAGCAAAATATTCCTACTTACAATCTATTAATCACTAAAATAATAATTATCAATAACTTAAGAGAGAAGAAAAAGTTTTTGGCTCAAAATAATTTTGTTTCTTAACCCATCAACCCAGCAGGTTAATCGGATTGATCTTGGGTTGGTTCGGTTTACACCGGGTCACCCTTAGATCAATTTGGTTTCGAGTCACATGGTTAATTGAGCCGGTTTGCTAGTTTCCCAGCTAAATCGATTGGTCCGATCCGGGCTTGCATACCATGGTTTCAATTTCAACTTTCTTCTCAATCTAATTAATGCATAGCTACTTAGTTACTAGTTAGAGGTGATGTAATGATTAAATAAACATTTAATAAAAATAATTATATAAATCTATAATGAATCTAATTATTAACATAATAATATCACAACATATAAAATTTAAAAGCCAAAAATATCAAAATAAAGAAATACTAAAATATGTATAATTTGATAGCTTTTTTTCCCCATTTTGTTGTAATGAATGATAACATGTCGAAGCAACGTAGACCGTTGACTGTATCGGCGATTCACGGCTCATTGCATCAATAAAAGGTTGCTACAGGTTAAACAGTGCCCAACCCCTTGCACATCCTTATATCCACACCAACTTTTGTGCCAAGAGAAAGATTTCACGAAGTGACAACTAATTTGAGTATACGCATTCTTTTCAAAAAAAAAAAAAAAAAAACACATGTCAATATATAGGCACGCATATTTGATCTTTTCAAGTTGTTAGCATGTGGAAAACGAAGGTTTTTAAGCATATTCTATAATTTTTTTTAAAAGAATTAACATGTTTATATATGCTCAATTGTATTTTTTTTTTATAAGAGCCTGATAATTAAATAATGCAATTCAAAAAAATAATTAAAAATAATAAATATGTAAGAAATAAGTTTTTTCCATAACCATTAAATAAGAGAGAGAAAGTATGAAAGAAATGTAGTAAATTTTTAAATTAATGTATATATAAATTAACTTAAAAATGATAAAAATATATAAATGTCCAAATAGTTATAAGTGGAATCTTATAAAAAAAAAAAGACTAAAACAATTCAAATTTTAGATTGTTATAAAAAGTATCAGGGAATATATAACTTCTCGGGGCATGCTTTAAAAATTTTGAAATTAATAAATGTTTACATCATTATTCAAAATTTGGCATGTAATTAATTTTCCTGACTATAAAAATATTCTTAAGAAATTTGATAGCTTTTTTTCCCCCATTTTGTTGAAAAAAAAAAAATGATAGGACTACTAATATGATAGTTAGATAAATGAGATTAGGATAAGAAATTAAATTGAAACATTGATTATAAATATCATTATTTATAAAAATTTATAAGATTTTTTTAAAATGTGGTAAAGAAAAGTTATAACAACAAATGTGTAATAGAAGATTTATAAAATTTGAAACCTAAAAAAATTAAAAAAATTATTGTACACAGAGAAAGAGCATTGATCTTATGATTCCGATTCTAAAAATACTTGATCATGGATATGATAAGGGAGAGGTGATGAAAATACCACATTTTCTTATTTTAAATTTTTTAATTAATCTCCAATTGAGTAATCGTTAGTCACATTAAGAGAGAATAGTTATACTCCACTCTTGTAAAAGTGGGGTTAACTCGCTGATTAAAATGACAACAGGTTTTTTTTGTTTTGGGGGGGGGGGGGGGGAACAAGTGGGCCAACCCGCGACAAGTGCAAATTGGATTGTTGAAAACCCGCCTCCATATGAGCTGACATTTTATTTTGCTTCCAGTTTATTCAAAAAGCGCTAAAAAAAAAGATTAACCGAAACCGCTCCTTTTTAGCAGGTTTGGGCAGTGAGTCAAATTTGTATAACCATCTCTAATCTCTAAACTAAAATAAAAGATGATCGGTTAGCTTCTTTTCATCCACCGTCCCTCCATCATACAGGAACATTGTGACCTAAGTAATCAGCATACAAATTGTAAGATACTGACTTATGTCAGATTCACCATTCTTCAAATTCATGATAAACGATAGACAATAATACTGTGAGATGAAACCATACAAAAAATGAGAACTAAGTTCCAACTTATTGTCTTTCTAAGGTCACGTAAAACTGGTCAGCCACAAAGTCTATAGAGGTCACATAAAACAGAAACCATAAAAAATTAACAATTCTTGTTGAGACCTTTTAACAGTCATCAATAATGAAAACACAATTGTCCTTAGTGGAAGGAGATGAAATAACTTAGAGCCCGTTTGGTATACTGAAAATCTTGCGATGAAATTTTCCGATGAGATAGATTTTCTATTGTTTAAGGGAAGATAGGTTCTCATCAATTTTGGTGGTAAGAGATTTCCCATCACACACGGGGAAATGCCAAAGAGTAGATTAGCCTTTGAAATTTGAATAAAAGTCTGGGGGCTTCATCTGTGACCCTTGTGAAAAGCGTTAAAACTGGTTATGTCTCTTTTGAACTCCTCTCTCTTATGAATCTTACATTCCCATGGTTCCACTTCCCTGTACCTCACTTAATTATTTTACAGTATTACTTTTTGTGTGCATATCCATATCAACATTACTGGGTTTCCTTATGTATTCATAAATCAAATTTTGCAGCCAAATACACGTAAAACGAAAATTACATCTGTATTTGGTATTTAATTTGTCTCCACCATATTTGTCTTTAAATAATTTGGCAACTCAAATTAATGCAAATTAGCCTCCAATAATAAAAACCTCAATCATTCGTAGGAGTTTTATATCTGTACTTTCAACACAAAAATCTCTAGATGCCTAATTTATCCTGTTTTTTGATCACATGTTGTGCAACCAACTATCAGTCTTCGATTAAGAAAAATAGAAGTAAATAGGAAACGTTAAACAAGAATTTGGTAAAACAAAATTGTTGCATAAAATTCGAATATGATCATGTGATGATTAAATTCTTCATTGCATAAAATGCACATTTATTTGAGTAAATTCAAACGTTATATAATCAAATTCAAATTTCCTTAAGCAAATTCTAATTTTATAAAAGAAAATCAGAATTTGCTTACTTCTTTTATTGTCATGTTAAATCTTATATTTCACTTAGCATAGCTTTAAGAAGATTTTTTGAATGGGTCTCATTGCATTAAAAATTAGGCTCACTGAGCTTTACAATGATATATTATTTGCCTAATTTGCATTTAAATTAAGAAAGATATGTCTATTAAAAATTGATTATTAAATTTATTTTGTTTATATGAGCTTGTTTATGCTCTATTCAACACGTGAAAAATAAGGGCAAGTAAGATGATGCCACAATGTTATTACTTAGGGACTGGCAGGTTGCCCATTATTCCTCTTGACATGGCAGCCACGGCATCAGTCAGGTTATACTGCCTTCATATCGTGGAATATATCGCTGTATTGCCAAGGTCAGAACATTTAGATACAAAATCATCCGAATTACTCCTGTTCTACTATCTTGGAATCTGAAAAAGTAAGATAAATAACAGTCAACAAAAGTCATGTAGTTGGACGTAAGTCTCATATCTACAACAGCCAGTAACCCTCTTAGATCCACTTCTTCCTTTTTTACTGGAAAAAGAAAGAAAGCATATCGTTATTCTTTCATTATATAGATATTTAACATTTAATACATAATTGAGTAAATACTTAATCATAAAGAGACTAAAAGGGTGGTGAGAGGAAGAAAAAAAGTAGCATCTTCATGTGCTTCACAACTTCCATAGATACAGTACATACCAATTCAAATACACTAACATAAATTTATCAGTTAACTAAAGACAGAGCAGAAGAATCACAATCACAGACAACCAGATCTTTTATGACTTGAATTTTGCAAGAAAGAAGTTAAATGTTAACGGGAGATTTTTTAGGTTAGGTATTAGCAGTTGTTACCTGTGACAGGAGCCTTGCTTTGCTTGGCTTTTCGCAGCAGATCTCAAGCAGAGAAAGGGGAAGAAAAATGGAATCTGAACCTAAGAGAAGAAGCATGAACAAGGCTGCAAACCAAAAAAAATTACATATAGAAGTTTGCAACAACCACAACAGAAGCATAGGAAAAATTAGCATGCATGTAATAGGGGGAAAAAAACTTTTTTTTTTTTTTGGGGGGGGGGGGGGTAATTAAAATCTCAAATGAAGGGATAGACAGACTGCCCAAATAACTGACTTAACAACCAGAGAAAACATTGTGAAAATCATTGGTAGTCAAAGGGTTTAGAAAAAATTGGAGGTCAGCAAGAGCCAACTAGGCCAATAAAATGATTTAGTTGGACGATTGAAAAGAAAGGTAAAGGAGTTAACATGGCAGTTATAGATATGATATAATGTTCAAAATTCATTATTATAAATAATTATTTATAAAAAAAAAAGATATAGAGAAAAAGGCGGAGAATTTAAATTTAAGAGAAAACGAGACAATTAAAATAATAGATAATAGGGTTATAAAATTTGATATTAAAAAACAGAGATTTAAAGTAATAAAATCTATCAAGGGGGGGGGGGAAAAAAAACAGAGAACACTGTACCTACCAATAGTAACTTCTGCCCCCAAAAATATCGATATGGGATTTGGCCAACATCAAAGAGTCAGAGAACACATCGAGGCTATTGAAATTTCAGGTTGCAATTATGCTTGACTTATCAACTTTCAGGTAAGCATTCTAAAAGCAAGCCAGTTGGCGGGAATTAGATTCAGATTTTTAGATAATTGCATCATTATAAATAGACTCCCAAGATTCTGTATTAAACTTTGGCCAGCAAAATATGGCCACTGTCTAATGCACTCTCGTCCAACTTGTTCCTACCAAATAACCGAAGTTAAAATTTTAATTCCCATCCAGGAGCTCCTGTGCCAGAATAATCCACCATTTTAATGCAATAAGGATGTTCAAGCCACAGCAAAAGAGTTGCCACAAAATTTAATCCGCCACTAATACCTTGCCTAATGCAGATGATAATGAGCTGTAAGGTCATCTATAAGCTCACTAGCATTTTTGTCTTCAGCAAAAGCAAATTTCACAAGAGTTTCCCAACTCTTTAGAGCAAGCTGCAGCTTTCTCTTCTCCATCTCTTTCAAGACAAAGCAACCATCATCAATCTTCCCGCAGATTAACAGGCCCACAACTAAACAATTAAATGTTTCAGAACGGGGATAATGTTTGCTTGCTAGCATTACATTTAAAACATTCAGACCTCCCTCAAAATCTCCAGTCTTGCAGAAACCATCAACCATCATCCGGTAGCTAGCGGCATTGGGCTCACAACCCTTAATCTGCATCTCAATTAAAACTTTATAAGCTTCTGTTGTCTTCCCTTCCTTGCAGAGATAATTTATCAAAACATTGTAGATTACAACATCTGCCTTCAACCTCCTCTTTCTCATCTCGTGAAGTAATGATTTTGCCTCCTCAATCTTCCCTCTCTTACCCAAATCATTCATCAAAACAGAAAAATTGATCGGCTGAGGTCTGCACCCTCGATATGCCATCAGCTTCTTCAGGAAGTTTGGCTTTGTTGTAATGCTGAAATAGAGCAACAAAAATGGTTTCTTTGCAGTGTATGCCTCTGTCTTGAATATAAGCAAGAACAGCTTCAACAGCTTCAAAGCTTCTTGATCGAGCCAGTTTGTAGAGTAATGCAGCATAGGAGGGGTAGTCATGCTTGACTCCTTGTTTCTTGTATTCATGAAAAAGCAATAGGGCTTCTTCTGGGTCATGCAATTGTTTGACTTGGGTGATGAAAGGCATGCGCTTGCGACTCTGTGAGTTTGCAATCCGTGATCGTTCATGCTGAGGCTTGGCTCGCAAATTTTTTGTATGAAGAGTGCAAAATAGCTGAGAAAGGGTTTGGTTAGAGTAACAGATCAAATTAATAGCTTTTGCTCTTGAAAAGATCATCCTATTGAAAGTGACAAGAACATTGATAGCCTGCATAGTCAATACATAGAATTAATAGAGATGAAAATTTGATGCTAATACTGCTACTCCTAACAACAACGACAACGACGACGATAACGACGATGACAACAACAACTAGGTGGGCCCCTTGCAACTGTTCAGAGTTAGGATGAGTTGCTGATAGATCCCCGATCGGCTACTGTGAGCAAGCGAGTGAGATACTTACTTGTGAGGTCCAGTAGAGAGTTTATCTTAGCTTATTATCTTCTGTTCACCTCGGCTCTTACTATTTGCCCTATTCAAAACTTGTGAACTGTCGATTAATTTGGATAGGTAAATATACCAACCTCAAGCGCTATATTTGCACTATGTGGTTGAACTGTCGATTAAACATAAACAAGTAGTGCCTGTATAAACTAAATTAAAAATCCATTTTGTACTTGTCTCTTCAAACCATGCCTCCCAAAACCAATTCCAACCAAAACAAGTGTAAAGCTTATCAAGCTCGGTCATGAAGGTGGAATTGACTCCATGGTTCAAACCATAGGCGAACCTATATTACTCTCAGTGGGGGCATGTGTCCTCACTGAAATCTTGGAAAAATGCATAGTCGATATAATAGCCTTCTAATTTTTGTTCCAGATACTGACACAGCTCCAGCCAAGTCATGTACAAGATTACACATCACAGATACTATAGAATTTTCTAAATAATGAAAAGATTAATAAACAGAAAACAAATCCAACATTGCAAAAAAACAACACAATCCAAAGCATACAAGTCGCTGGTAATCAAAACGAAGAGGGCAGAGGTATAATAGCCAATTACACAACATTCAAGGAAAAACTAGCAAAAGATATTAAACTCAATCTGTAAATATACCCAAATTCGAAAGCGTCAATACCCAAACGATAACGAAGCCAGATTTAGAGCCAAATCAAAATGAAAATTTTAAAACAAAGCAAGAACAACCATGCAGGGAAGACGCGGGGAAGAAATTTGAATCTAGATTCAAAGCTCGATTGAACAAATCAGTCTCACCAGATTCTGGGAGTAGATAGAGTCCTAGGGTTCGAACCTTCTTCACTACTTGACCGAAAACAGCCACGCACGGCTGACGACGGCGGACGGCGTCCGACGGAGCGCGGAATGCTTTTTGGTCGACAAAGAAAAACGCATCCGCTCCGGCTGCGCCCGAGACTGGGTTTTGTTAACGCGACGCACCAAGAACCCGGGGGGGGGGGGGGACCGGACTAGGAATTAAATCGGTTGAGGCAGGTTAAGGGTCAGTGATTAGACATAGCTCAAATCAGAATCAAATTAGTCATATTAAAATAATATAATTTAATTTTAAAAAAAATTCATAAACAATATCTCTTTGAAAAATAAAAGAAGCTACAAAATTTCACTGGACTTCCATTTTATTTTATTAATGATATAATTATATAATACTCTTCCGGTTCTTATTATAAGACTCAATTTGACTTTTTATTTGATCCTAATTATAAGACCCAATCCATTTTCTCTTTTATATTTATGAATTTTTTTTCAAGATAATCCTTTTAATAATGATAGTTTTAGCTAATATACTTAATTAGCAAGGATATTTTAGGAATAACAACACTTATTTATTATAAATAACCAACTTAACTTACTTCCTTAATCTCCTCAAATAAGTCAATTGGGTCTTATAATTAGGACCGGAGGAGTATGTATTTATATATGATATTAGATAAAAAAAAATATATACGAGTATTTGAAAAACAAAAAAAAAGAGAAATACTAACAGTTCTGCTAAGTTTTCCCATCCTTTTAATTTTTGGTACTTTCAACACTTATGCACACAACCAATTATTTTAAACCCGAACCGGATCGGACGGTCATCGACCGGAGTTTTGAACGGCTCGTTTTTTTAGTTAAAAACCATTTGAGAGGTTGGGTCGTTTTAAGTTAGCAAGAACCGACTTTTGAGACAGAAATCGTGATCAAACCAGAAACTGGCCTCGATTTTGAAAAGTCGGACAGGCTATAAGATGAGATTTCAATTACATGAAACTAAAAGTGAAGGAGAAGAAGGAAAAAGAAAGGAGGGGAGAAGGAAGAACAAGTGGAAACGAAACGGCTCGTTTTTTTAGTTAAAAACATTGAGAGGTTGGGTCGTTTAAGTTAGCAAGAACCGACTTTTGAGACAGAAATCGTGATCAAACCAGAAACTGGCCTCGATTTGAAAAGTCGGACAGGCTATAAGATGAGATTTCAATTACATGAAACTAAAAGTGAAGAGAAGAGAAAGAAGGAAAAGAAAGGAGGAGAAGGAAGAACAAGTGGAAACGAAAATCTAATGCATACTTTATAATATTTCCCCACAAAAATAATGAAAAAATGTCAATCAATCTAAAACGAAACTTGAAACCCGAACCAATTGCTTCCATGACCCTTGAATATGTTGGGGCTTGCACAACAAAGGAAGAAGACGAAGAAATAAAAGAACGCAGAGCTCGGAAGAAAATGAAACGGATAGTTTGAAAAAAAGTAACCACTCTCTTTCTTCTCATCCTGCCACTATGACACATTTACTACTTTCAATGTAAATAATAAATTTATCACCAGTCTCCATAGCCACACGCATTTACCAAAATGTTTATTTATGTTTTTATCTAATTTTTTTTGTTTATTTTAGTTATTCTTATTCTTCCTATATCTAGTTTTATATGTTTACGCATTATATTTTATTTTTATTCATCTAAAATAATTTATATAAAATTAAACATGCATTTTTAGACATATAAATTTGTTGATTTATTATGAAATTGGACTATTTAACTTTATTTTTAAATTAGATAACATATCATTTTGATTTCATACATATCATATTATATAAGTATATATTCAGGCCAAAAATCTCATACAAGTATATAATATGATTTTTTATTTTAATTATATGTCACCGGTCAGACCGTCGGTCCGACCGATCCGATCGAACGAACCATGACCTGTTAACTTTTCCGGTTTGATGTCCGGTTTGGCTTTTAAAACATTGCATACAACACCTTTCAATTTTTTTCTCTTTCTTTTCTTTTTCAAATTCATTTGTCTCTTGTCCTTCTACGATTCTCCCTCCCTCCCTCCATCTCTTTCTTCTCTGTTTTCTTTTTTCAATTCGTCTCTTCTTCGGCCACACTCTCTCTCTCTTTGAAGAGTTCTTCCATTGTTCATATGTAGTAATTTTTTTCCTACAATAGTAGGCTCTACTCTTTAACTCTAAAAAATGATTGCAAGCTCCCCTCCTCCCTGTGATCTCCCTTTCGGACACTATCCTTCTTTCCCCTTCTCACCTTCATTCCTTCTTCCTTCAGATCTAATAGGTATTCTGCTCTCCTCCTTTTAGCCCTCTTCTTCCTCCTCTTTTGTCTTTCTTTTTCCATTAACTGTTTAATTTTTTAACAGGCTTTTATGTTTTTTTCTTAAGTGATTTTCTTGTAGTAATCCAAGCAACCCAACCAACCCAACCCAACCAGCAATTTTCCAGTTTGATGCCTGTTTACACCAGTTTATTTCGGGTCATTTCGATTTGATCCCCCACTGATTTTATTGACGAACCAGACCGGACCACTAGTCAATTTACAGATTTCTGATCTGAACTGGCTGGTCTAGTCCCTTTTTTTTTTAATTGACTAAAACCCATACCAATGAACGAAACAGTTAAGAGTCAAGGGTCACCAATAAGTCAAATCCAGTAATACTTAAATAATTTAATTTAAAACCTTTTCTCTCTTCTTTTTAGACTCAACAATCAATTTGATTGATAAGATTAGCAAATTTTTTATCTATCTCCTCTATTAGTACCCTTTCTCTTTCTCATATAATAAAAGTAATAATAAATTATTAATAATCGCTTTCTTTGGCCATTTCCTCAAAACTCATTCTTAGTTCCAAACTTGTGCCTTCAGATTTCTTCAAACAAGATAGGAGCACCCTGCTAGTAAGTCTCAACTCACCCACAGGCTCAAATGAGTGCACCTTAAGGCTTGGACTTTCAATAGCCTCCATGACTTTTCCTTGGTCACATCTGATCGATACTTCTTCTTTGAACTTAGCATCATTTGCATCTACAATGATCCAAGAGGGAGACCTCACTACTAGAATGAAAGAGGGATGATTGCATTTAGGAATGAGGACAAGGAAAGATTGATTCGGCTCTCTGAAGAAATAACTAAGACTAGGCAAACCATAAAAATAATATTTGCTCTCAAAATGGACCAAAAATGCTGAAAAAATATCTAGCATGAAACCCATTAGGTCTAGGTGCATACCCACCTTCATCTAAAAAAAGCATATTCAATCTCCTCAACATGAATAGGCTTGTTTAAATGCAAGAGGTATTTTGAGTTAGACAAGGTAGGTTAATATTATCTAATCTAGTCCACACAAGATAAGTTAAAAAATCGTACAACAAAATAGATATCCATAAAATAAGGTATAGCTTCATATTGAATATCATCAGGACGTTCTAGCCCAAATGCCCCCTGAATTTTGAATTCACAAAACTTGGTTCTTTAACCTTTTGTGGGAGGCAAAGGCATGAAAATACTTGGTGTTTTAGTGACCTTGCAAGGTCTAATTATGGTTAGCTTTCTATGACCACATCATCTCCTCATAATCATATCAAAACTGCAATTGACTTTGTAAATCTTTTGCTAAATGCAACTCAAAAGGAGAAAACTGTTTGTTGATGACATACCTGAAGTTTATTTTCTAACTCATTAATATGGTAAGCAGTGCTACCCACCGGTAGCTTGTTCCAACGAGAAAAAATTGTTGCTGTAAGCCCAAAAACCATGTACCATACACTTCCATTCAACCAGAACAATCTCTTGACATTATTGAAACGAGAACCAAAATTTTTCAAGTTGAAATAAATTGAAACTCTATTGGACACATTGTGATTGTGGTAAAATTGGGGAATGATCACATCTAGCAATCGATAAAATTTACAAAACAGAATTAAAAAAAAAAACTCAAGCCAATGTGAATTGCAAAGATCCCCATCAAGCTTCTCCATGACCAAATCATTAGCATAGCGATTATTAGTCTAAGTGAACCAACCACTTGTTGAAGGAATATCAATAAGCTAACAATCAAGCAGTATAGCTTGGAAATCTGATGCAACCCCTATTGAGGAAGAGACATTGTGTTAATAGATGTAGTAACACTTATTAACTAGTCCCATAAAATGTGTCTATTAAAAATATCTGAAAAGCCATACATAAAAGAGATAAACATTTCACTATCATCAAAAGTTTTACAA